TTGTTTAGCCAGTCTGTTCTACAATTGTAGATTTATTTAGATTAAAACATTTAGTGGTTTTGGGCTTGCCTCACACATGTGAAGCACTGGATTCGATCCTCAGCACCACATTAAAATAAATAAACAAAATAAAGATATTATGACCATGTATAACTAAAAAAAACAAAACATTTAGTGGTTTTTTTGTTGATACTTGTCTTCCATATTCTTTTTTTTAAATATTTTTTTTAGTTGTTGATGGGCCTTTATTTTTTATTTATTTATATGTGTTGCTGAGAATTGAACCCAGTACCTCACACGTGCGAGGCAAGTGATCTGCAACTGAGCTACAATCCCAGCTCCCATGTTCTTGAGAGTTTTAATATTTTTCCTTTTAAAAAATCCATTTTACATATTTTGTTTTTTGGTTGATAATTGCTTAAATTAAGCTATTCACTTTTAGGAAATGAAACTTTGTTTTTGAAATTCAGCTTTAAATACTTATAGTTGTCTTCACTGAAATGAATTAAATAGAAATTCCATTTCTTTCAGCATTATAATATATAAAAATGAGGAGTTCCCCCCTTCTAAAATAGCAGTAACTTCCCTTATGAGTCAGTTTAACAGTAGGCAACAAATTATTCAGATAGAAAAATTTCAACACATATGCTTGGTAACTCACTGTAAAATAAGTTACTTAGTTAAATGATCAGGGAGAATTTTCACTCCTTCCTATTTTATATTTATCATGGGAAATATAAAATATATATTCTAATATGTACATATGCAAAGTAACACTTGCTTGGGCAGAGTTCAGAGGCTTTTAAGCAATTGTTTAATAATAAATGTTGCATAAATGTTGCACAACTTGTGGTATTTGCTTGTAGTAGATTCAGTTACATTCTAAACTTGGCTCTCAAAATTTCTACTAGGAACTTTCTGTGCTCTAAACTATCAGCCTTTAGTGTCAGATGGAAACCTTTGAAAATGTTAATCCATTTGAGCTATGTAGAAATCACATGGAGATGTATTATACAGATTTCTTGTGGCACTGTTTTCCACACCATTTGTATGGTGTATAAAAGAGTAGAAAGGAAAAGCTTGTTTCATGTCTCTTTATTTTAGCATGACACATTACAGGGCATGCATACTGACTCAAAGTTTTCTCATCAGCTAGTCCATGAGGAAAATTAAGATTGTCTTGCCATGCCCCATGGAAATGATAAGGCTTTTCAAAAGAAAAAAACAGAGAACAAAAGGACGTGTCGGGCGTGCACACAACTGTGTTATTAGCAGGAAATGTGCTGACTCCTTTATGAATGTGTGAATTTACGAATATGCGTTTTTTAAAAAAAAAAAAAGAATTATCTTTTTTTATTAGTCATTGAATGAAAAGCATTTTTCCTGATTCAGAGAAGTTTTATTCTGCTGAATTTTGTTCAGCTGTCTATAAACTGAGCTTTCACAGCATTTTTTTTCTGCCTATGGGAGTGTTTTTGATGGAAAAATCTCTTAGTTTTGATATTATACGGATAATACTAGGGAAATGATAAGAATTCCAGTATTTAGTGAGTTGTAGCCTTAATGAGTGCCTGATTCAAGTTGACAAGTTGTTTTTTCCCCCCTCCTAGTTTAGGGGAAATGCTAGATTTTGTTCATTATTAACTCATTATTTTAACAGAAGAGAACTGGATTAATTTTGGGGAGGGAGAACACTAAGAAAATAACTTTTGTGTCTTCTTAATGTCAAAGATTGAATTTTAGGCTTTTACAAATCCTCCACCATCTCCAGTTGTTCCCTTTTATTTGTATTTGTTTAAATTCCACTAAAATAATGATATAGCAACATTTTCATCACCCTGAAAAGTTTATAATGCCACTTTATACTCTACTTCCTCTGTGTCCTGTCATTACAGTTTTGCGATTGTTAACATTTTATAGAGAAGGAATCATGCAGTATTTAGCTTTTACATAGGATGACACCCCCCCATTCATCATAGTTTTGAAATTGATTTCTGTTGTTTTATGGATAAATTATTACTTTTAAATGTAGAATACTATTCCCTTGGATCAATATTTTAAGGTTCTTCTGTTGATTAACATTTGTTTTTCATTTATGTTGTTATTAATAATAAAATACTTAACCATATATGGGGCAACATATATTAACTTTTTAAAAATAACAGGTAATCTCCTTTTCAAAGTTATTGTGCCTTTCTTTATCCTTGTCATTAATTAGCGAGAGTATCAATCACTTTGCATTTTTTTTTAATGCTTTGTATTAAACCTGACTAATTCTAGTGGTATTCCTTAGAGATTTTAATTTGCATTTCCCTGATACTTAATTATTTAAATATTGTATGTGCTTACTAGCTGTTTATATATCTTATTTGGTGAAATACCTTTTCAAATATTATATCCACTTTAAAAGTTTAATGCATAATTATATTGATTTATAGGTATTCTTTTTATATTTTAGATATAAACCTTTTGTCGGATATATATTTTGGAAAATTTCCTTACAATATCCTTTTTCATTTTCATATATCTGTTACAAATAAAATTATTAAACTTGATGAACTTTGTTATACTTGCTGTATATATATTTTCATGTGTTCTTTTTCCTATTTAAGAAGTAGGTTGCAGAGATTTTTTTCCCTAAATTTTGTTCTAGACACTGTACAATTTTGACTATTGACAATTTTAGTACCATTTGATCAAAAGACTGTTTCAGTATTTAATTATATTATGCCTTTGATGAAAATAAATTGGCCATGCAAATGTGAATTTATTTCAGGACTCTTGATAATTTTGCATGTTAAGGGATTTGTTTGTGTCATCTGAATATTTCCTACTCCTTTCTTTATATTTCTTTTATTTATTTATTTTTCAACATTTTGTCTAGAGTTAGCTCTTTTAAAAGTTAATAATGACCAGTCTTTAATTTCATTATCTTTCTTTTGCTTGCCCATATTTTATTTTATCAATTGTTTAATTTTTATTAATTCCCTCATCCAATTATCATTGGTTTTTAATTTGTTCTTCTTTTTCTACTGTCTTAAAAAATTTTTTTAGATTAAATTAATTTTTAAATCAAACCAGAAGCTTTGAAATTATATATGTTAATGGAATAGTGTGCTGTCTCAATACATGTATACATTGTGCAATATTTATTTATTCCCCAAAGACTTCATTTCTTTATGGTAAAACTTTTGAAATACATTCTTTTAGCTATTTAAAATGTACATTATTATTATCTGTGATCATCCTACTGTGCAGAGGCAAATCAGAATTCCATTCTTCTATCTAATTGTAACTTAATACCTGTTATCCACTTTGTCCACACCCTTCTCTTTCCACTACGCTCTCTAGCCTCTGATAGCCACCATTCTACTCTCAACTTCTATGAGAGCAACTCTTCTAGATTCCACAAATGAGTGAGAGCATTCTGTGTCTACGTTATTTCACTTAATCTAATGACCTCTAGTTACATCCATGTTTTCGTGAATGACAGGATTTTGTAATTTTTTTTGAAGATGAATAGTATTTCATTGTGTGTATATACCATATTTTCTTTATTCATTAATCTGTTGATGGACATTTAGGTTATATTCGTTTTTTAGCTATTTTGAATAGTGCTGCAATTAATATGGGAAAGACACAAGTCTTTTAGACGTAATGATTTTATTTCCATGGGATATGTATCAAGTGGTAGAGTTGCTGGATCATATGGTAGATATTGTTAATTTTCTGATGAATCTCTATACTATTTTCTTAATGAATGGCATTACTAATTTATATTTCCATAAACATACAAGCTTCCCATTTGTCTATATCCTCACCAGCACTTGTTTTCTGTAGTCTTTTTGATAATAACCATTCTGACTGGGGTGAGGTGATAGCTCACTGTTGTTTTTATTTCTCTGTCAGTGTTGTGTGGAGTATTTTTCATATATCTGTTAGCCATCTGTATACCTTATTTTGTGGAGGAAGGGAAATACCTATTTTGTTCTGTTTTCCATCTTTTTTTTGGAGGGGGGTTTTACCAGGGCACCTTATTCTGAGCCACATCCCCAACCCTTTTTATTTTTTATTTTGAGGCCAGGTCTCACTAAGTTGCTTAATGTCTTGTTAAATTGTGGAGGTTGGCTTTGAACTTGTGATCCTCCTGCCCCAACCTCCTGAGTAGTGTGTGTCACCGTAGATGGCCTCTAGTTTTTCTTTTCTTTCTTTTTTTTTTTTTTTGGTATGAGGATTGAACTTATGAGCACTTGACCACTGAGCCACATCCCCAGCCCTTAGTTTTTCTGAATTTACAAAAGTACGGGTGACATTTTTATAGTAACTTTGTATCTGATGACTTTGATAAATACACATATTAATTATAATATTTTGTGCTTACTGAGTAGTGTTGTCTGGATATTTTTCTACTAATAGAATTGTAGTATAAGTTTCCAACAGTCAGGTTTTCAGCAAATAATGATGTTTTTTTTCCCTTGGAATAATTCCTTTTCTTATGCATAGAACCTTCTGTACTATGTCGAATTGAAGTGATGACAGTGATCTTATCTAGTTCCTCTTAGCATTTTATAGTTGTATGTGTTGTTCACCAGTTTTAAGTCTAGTGCCCTTATCAGATTAAGGAAATATTTCTTATTGTGAATGTATTTAAAATTATAGCTTAAGTTTCTGCATCTAACGAGATTATCATATTTTTTTTTTCTTCTGTAGAGTATCAACTTGGTGAATGATAGATTTTTTTCCTTTCCCCAAATTTTGTACATTCTCAAGTTTATAGGGATGTAGTATGAGTGTTTTTTTTTTAAATTTTGAATTTATTTACTAGTAGCATGTTAATAAGGGATTTAATATTATGTTAGGAAAATGTATTTTTTAAATGTTTTTATTATATATTTATTTATTTTTATGGTGCAGGAGATTGAAACTAGGGCCTTGCACATGCTAGGCAAGTACTGTGGCAGCTCTCCTTTTTAAAAATAATGACTTTTTTCTTCTTTTAGGACAAGCCCACCTTATTGTTGTGTGGATCTATATTCACTTCGTACTGGAGAGATGGTCAAGTCCATTCAGTTTAAAACACCTATTTATGACCTCCACTGCAACAAGCGGTAAGCATTTTTTCATGTTTCTTATTCAGGTATGATCTACATCCTGGGCATATAAAGAACTACGAGTTCCATGACTTGAAGATTTTTAAAAATATCAAGGAAATATCTTCAAAATTATGTCCTATAAAATAGCTCTAAGATCCCGTAATTGAATATTTTCAGACTTCTATCTTGAGCCATGAGGGAAATATGAATTCATTGCAATGGGATTTAACCAGTATTTTAAAAACACAATGAAAAAGAATAGAAAGTATCTGAGACATCATAGATGTTCTGAGCAACCTTTTTATATATACAATGTGTATACTTCTCTGTGTTTACTGACTTATGATATGAACTATAATTTTTCTGGGAAGTAAGAAATACTTCATGCTACATAGTGGAGCTAAAACATGCACCTGATTGGTTTTCCTTCTTTATGATTTATTTTATTAAATTGGACATATTCAAATCTAGGTTGAACTTCTGCTTGACCTTTGGTGATAATGACAGATTATAACCACAGAATATAAGTGGAGAAAGAAACATAGTAATCTTTCATTACTGAGTGCTTTCCTTTTACACTTGAGAAAACTGAAGGCCTAGGATGATGAATGTCTTGAACCAAGAATGATGCAAGATATAAATCTTGTCATCAGAAGGAAACATATGAAGCACAACAAACAAAATATTTGTGGCATTTCAATAAATTTAGGAGAAACCAGATTCTCAGATAGATTTTAATGAGATAATGAAAAAGATATACCCAACAAATGTATAGTAAAGAAAATGTGCATTATCACTAATGACAGAACTATTTGAATTTAAGTGCAAAACATGAAAGTTATAGGAAATAGAAGAAACAGTATACTATGCCAGGATAAGGTAATTATATCCTGAGAAATCAAGTTAGTGAAAACAAAATCATATAGACGTATTAAACAACATCATTATTGGTAGTTTCATTAGATAATATATTTAACCCCCAAAACTATTTCATGTGCCATCCTAAAGTAATTTACACATTATTTAGCCAAAGAGGAACTTTAATACATTTTAAGAAGTAGTATAGAGAAGTTTTTAGATCAGTTTTCTCATATTACAAATCTGTGGATATGCTAGAAACCAGAGAAAATAAACAAAAACTACAGTTGTTTTCATTATTTGCTCAGTTTAAATTAAATAGGAAATCAAAACTAATTTTATTTCTTTCAAAAATTAATAATAAAATATATGTGTGGTGAAATTCTGCAAGATAAATAAAAGAAATTATTATTCTCCAGAGATAAATATAGTCACCTGTATTTGAGTTTATCCTTCTCCAAAAAGCATTTACATCAATAAATGCAGGTATAACCTATAGCTCATGCTTTGTTTATAACTCTGCAAGAATGAATACTATTAACTTAAAATATCAAATATGAGACTAATAGGATTTTTTTCAAGAGCTCATGCAAGAGGTGATATGGCAGATGGTGTGGAATTCAAGACAATATGGCAAGAATTTGTGCAGAAAGGACATAGGTAAACTGTGGTTCTTTTCCTGGAAGCAGAGGGTGTTAGAACCATTAGAACTTGAAATCACTAAAAAGTCAGTAGGGGTTGGGAAATGGGAAGGAACAGATGTGGCCATGAACAAAAACTCCTTCTTATTGGGTAGTAGGCAATTAGTGTCTCTAAATAAATGAATGTGATTAAGGGTAGGTATGGCTTAATGACATTCATTTATTTAGAAACTGAAACAGAGTAGCAACACTGACTGAAACAGTTGATTACTCCCCAACCTTACCAGCCTGAATGTACCATTTACAAAGTTAGCAGTTATTTCCAGCCTGTCCCACCAGTGTATTTTTGGTGTGTAGAAGAAGGTTTCTAATAACTTGTCTTCTAAATTCATAGTCTTCATATTGAGAGTAATTGTATATGAGGGGTTTTATTTAAGGAAGTGTACCAAAGGATTGTCCTCTGCAGATGTACCTGATGCAGAGGGTGAGACTCCATGTTGGTGCCATAAAGGGATGAGAGAGGGTAGACGGTGGGGGAGTAGAGTATATGCTGCTTATTTGTGGGAAGAATGTCAATAATTAAATGATTTTAATAAATTTTGAAATAAAGCATCAGGGATAGTATAAAATATTGTGTTATTATTTGATAATCTACACTTCAGGCATCAGGATTTAATTTCTCCAACCTAGAGTAGAGGGGGTGAACCCAATAACTCAGTTAAAGTAACTACAATGAAGTAGAAGTGTTGGTGGGCAGCTTCAGAGATCAGGTCAAAAAATGCAGTGATGTTTCCTCTTTTCTTTTTATTTGGATTAAGGTACAGGTCTAAGAAAGTGTTTTCATGGTGGAATAGACTCTAAATATCAAATACTTCTGACATGATTAAAATTAAATAGCAGAAGAGAAAAATAAAGAGAAAGGTAAAGTGCTATAGATAGGAGTCAGATGATAAGAACCAAACAAAATTAATATCCTCAGAAAGGAAAAATAATCCTCTTCCCTGTAAAAGCAAAGCATTCACATCAGGAAGGGGTGCTAAAACCAAACTTATCAATTATATTAGTAAATTAAAGTAAATTTAAATCACCTGTAACAAAAATATTTTCAACTATGAACTCAGACAACCAAAAGATTAATCTCCCTGATGTCCTGAGTCATATTATACCTGTATACCTTTGTGATCATAGTGAATGAAAATCTCAGTCGAGAAATAAGACCTTCCAGGTGGAGCAGTAGAAAGTGTACAAGTTGAATAGGAGAGGTAAGAAATGGAGAAACATTATCAAACTCCATTGATCTATGAGATGAGAAGATTTAAGAAGACAGGGGTATGAGAAAAAGTCTATTTGAAATTTCAAAAAATTACCCAAATTTTATGAAGAACAAAAAATTTTGTATTTATGATCACTAGGAACACCAAAGAGGATAAATAAGAAGAAAAATATTCCTGGACACATCATAATATAATTGGTTGAAAGTAAAGATGAAACAGAAAACTTGATGAAATTTAGAGATATAAAAAAGTACATTAAATGTGGGGAACAACAGTATGAATATTCTTTTTTATGTTTTTCTTTACTTTTGGAATTGATTTTTATTTTGGGCTATTCATGGTAGTTAGAGCCACTGTGTCTTCAGAACAATCACAGCACGGTAAATATGTCACTGAGACGTCCAGAAAAGTCTGACTAGCTGAACAGTATGAATATTCTGAATTTCAGTCAGGGGCACACAGAAGAATCAGGAGAACTCAGAAGAAAACTTCCACTTCACCCCTGCTACCTACTTGCTACCTAGATAGTCTGTGTGTTTTTCCTCTCTGGTGAATGAACTCCCTGTGTTCCTCCCTTGTAGCATCATTTCTACATGTGTATTTGATCTCACGTACTCATCCAAATCTTTTCTTCATGACTCCACATTCTCTCTATGGTACCCACTGCAATTTCCCCAGATTGAGAGGTTTCCTTTCCCTCTTTTGTTCAATATAACATTGCTCTCTTCAAGTTGACATTGGTTCTCAGGTTCCTATATGGATCAGTTTTCAGATCTCATCATACTGCCATGTGTTCAGGACTCATTAACCAAATATTCAGTAATTTGCTATTTTATATCCAGCACTAATTTCATCCCTGTGTATTCATCTGTGATCAAAATTTCTTCTTTTTAAATATAACAACCTCATTAGGTTTTTGGGACATCATGCTCTTGGTTTTCCCTCTAACTTTACTGAATTCCTTCACCAATGGATACATGTTGGATTGCTGTCATCTTTGAATTTCTCTTTTCAGCTGTATTTCCTCTTCAGAAGCTCTTATTTATTTTCATTTCCTTAATACAGTTAATTTACAGATGATCAATAATTTTCTCTCTGATCTGTAATAGTACTCTCTAGATCTGTCTTTAATTGCCTATTTTTATAGCTCTGTTTTGATATCTAGATGAAATCTCAAGTGTAATATTTCTGAGATGGAAACCTTATTAACCTATTCTTCCTGCCATTGTCTCCATTTTAATGAGTGGTAACTACACTGACAATTCTTTCAGCCAACATCCTTTGGGCCTTTAAAATATTTGTGGTATAATTCACATACTTTAAAATCTACCCTTATAAAGTATACAATATTAGTGGGTTTTTTGGTATGAACACGTCTTGCAATTCCCATCAATAAACACCATGACACCACATCCCCATCAATAGTCACTTCCTGTTTTACCTTTTCCTAGCCTGTCTAGACACTAATTTATTTTATATTGCTGTGATTATGTCTGTCCTGGACATTTTTTTTAAGAGAGAGAGAGAGAGAGAGAGAGAGAGAGAGAGAGAGAGAATTTTTTAATATTTATTTTTTAGTTTTCGGTGGACACAACATCTTTATTTTATTTGTATGTGGTGCTGAGGATCGAACCCAGCGCCTCGTGCATGCCAGGTGAACGTGCTACCGCTTGAGCCACATCCCCAGCCCAGATAATTTTTAAAAAATATTTTTTTTAGTTGTAGTTGGACACAATATCCTTATTTTATCCATTTAATTTTATTTGGTGCTGATGATCGAAGCCAGTGCCTTGCATGTACTAGGCAAGCACTCTACCGCTGAGTCACAACCCCAGCCCTGTTCTGGATGTTTTATGAAAATGAAATACAATATGTGATCTTTCTGACTGACTTCCTTCACATACCTTATTATTTTTTAGGTTCCTTTACAAGGAACATGTATCAGTATTTTATTCCTTTTTATGACTGAATTTTGCATGGATATGCCAACATTTTGTTATCAGTTTATCAACTGATAAACTTTTGGGTTGTTTCTATTTTCATGTTCTTGGGAATATTGCCTTGAATTTTCCTATATAGGTTTTTAATTGAACATATATTTTCATTTCTCTTGTGTTTAGATCTAGCAGTTTAACTTTTTGCGGAACAGCTAAGCTGTTTTCCAACATGGCTGCATCATTTTACATTTCTACCAACAATGTGTGAGGGTTTCATTTTCTCACCAACACTTACTATTATTTTTGGGTGATGCTGGGATTTTTACCCAGGACCTTGTAAATGCTAGGCAGATGTTCTTTGTTGTTTTGTTTTTAAATTTTTTTTTTAAGTTGTAGATGAACACAACACCTTTATTTTACTGATGTATTTGTTTGTGGTGCTGAGGATTGAATACAGTGCCTTACATGTACTAGGCAACCACTCTATCACGGAGCTACAACCCCAGCCCCTCTTCATTGTTTTTTTATTGTCTAGTGGTTGTGAAGTGGTATCTTTTTGTAGTTTTGTTTCATGTTTCCTTAATGAGTAATGATATTTAGCATCATTTCATGTGCTTATTTACCATTTGATTTGTTCCTTCCAGAAATATCTATTCTGATTCTTTGCCCATTTTAAAATTTGATTATTTGTCTTTTTATTATTAAATTGAATAACAAGTCTGTGTGCATTCTAGATAAGTTATTTATCAAATGCATTACTTGCCAAACTTTTCTCACATGCTGTGGATTATCTGTTCACTTTCTTTGTGGTGTCATTTCAGGCACAAAAGTTTTTAATAGTGGTGATGTCCAATTCCAGTTTTTTCCTTGTTGCATTTACTATTGTTATGCAATAGTAAATGAATAAGAAACCATTGTCTACTCCAAGTTTATGAGCATTCACACTGGTTCTTTCTTGTGAGAATTTTGTAGATTTAGCTTTTAAATTTAGGTCTTTTTTTTTTTTTGTACTGGGTCTTGAACCAAAGGCACTCTATCTCTGAACTACATCACTGGCCCTTTTATTTTTTACTGAGACAGGGTATCACTAAGTTGCTTAGGGCCTCACTAAGTTGCTAAGGCTGGCTTTGAGCCTGGGATCATGTTACCTTACCCTCCCAAATTGTTTGGAATTATAGGCGTGTGTCACCACACCCAACTTCTTGGTCCATTTTTAACTTCTGTTTTTCTTTGCTACCTATTGCAGTCCATGGACAAATCCTGTTCAGCTCCACTTTCAATTTTATTAATAATTTAATCGCTTCTCACTACAACCATTGCTATACTCTGTTCTAAACCACTATCTTTTACCTGGATTATTGTGGTATTCTTCAAGTTCTCTGCTTTCAAATTGTTACTTGCTTGCCTCCATAGTGACCTGTTCTTAATATAGTGCCAGAATCTATCTTTTAAAAATTATGCCAGAATATTCCATCTTTCTATTCTATTCTCTCACTTGGCTTCCTTCCCATGGCCTATAAGAACATCTAGTATCTTTGCTTTTTTTGCTACTTCTCTGACTTCATCTCCTAAGATTTTTTTCCTTTTGCTTTTTGAGCTGCGTCTCTGCCTTTTAATTGAAATTGGATAAAATATTGTTACCTCCAGAACTTTATATATTTTGGAATTTAATTTGTGATAAGGTGGTATTTTAAATTTGTGTGATTTGTGTGTGTGTATATGTGTGTGTGTGTGTGTGTGTGTGTGTGTGTGAGGGGGAATATATTATTCAGAGAATGATTTGAGAGCACTGAGACTCTTGGGGAGGATCAGGTCATTTATGAGTAGAAAAAGCCACAGATCCTTTCCTTGTGAGGGTGACATGCCTCATACTGTTGGTATTGATAATTTAGCAGTATTCTTGGTTGAAATAAATTGTATTCGCTTATGCAGAAATGAACAAATGCAGTGTGAAAATTTGAAAAATCAACATATCTTTTAGCATCGATAGCTATTAAAATTCTACAAATAAAGTAAATAAAAGATGTGTAGAACATGTAATCACAGAATTTTGAATTGGAGAGGTTTAGTAAGATCTAAATAAACCAATAATAAAGACCACTTTTATGGCATGAAAGGTTTATTATTTCAATATTATTTTGACCAAAATTATATTACTATCAGTACAGTAATTTTACAGGTCTGATATTGATGAAAGAGAAATACACCAGTGCAATGGAACAGACTCTGGGATTTAGACATACACTTATATGACTTGACATAAAGGTGTCCTTTAGCTCAGGTTTTTTCAACCAGTTTTGTTTGCATATTCATATAGAACAACAACAAAAAGAAGTCTTAAGTCTGACTTAACTATCAATTCTAGATGAATTGGAACTCTGAACATGAAAGGTAATACCATTTATTTGTAGGCAAAATTTCAGTTAGAAATTCAATTTACTTTATGTTTACAAGTCTTTTCAGATTTTAAAATTCTTTCTGATACTAGTTTTGATAACTTATTTGTTTCAAAAAATTTTCCCATTAGGTTGTATTAAGGTTGGAATAAAATTGTAGTATTTATTATCAATGTAATGGCTGTGAAATATCTAGCAATATCAAAGTTGTGAATGTTCTCTTTTTTTGATCAGTCTAGCTAAATATCTAATTTTGTTTCTAGCTATGACCTGTGCCTCCCTTGCCCCTTAAGAGTGACGTGAAATGCATGTTGTTTATCATTGTAGGAAGTTCCTTTTCTAGTTTGCTGACAGTTTTGTCTTTGTTTGTTAATTTGGTATTAAATTTAGCAAAGTCCTTATTAAGATGATTGTATGTTTTATTTTTGATCTGTTAAAAGAGTAAATTATTTTGGTTGATTTCCTAATGTTAAAACCATTCTTGAATCTTTGAATGGAACTTTGGTGTTGTTATCTAAAATTCTTTTTATATGCTTTTGGATTTTATTTTTGCATCTATATTCATGAGGGTGGTTGATCTGCAATTTTCTTTTTCTTGTGTTTCTTTGATTTTTTTTCAGGGTTCATTTGCATATGATTGTTACTTTCTTCCTTAAATCTTCTGAATTTCTGTTATTGGATACACATAAATTTATGATTATTATGTTTTATTTTCTTGCTTTGTGATCCTTTCATCTTTATGAACTATCCTTTGTGACTTCTGATGTTTCTATTCTTAATGTTTATTTTATCTTGTAATCATTCCAACTCTTATGATTACAATTTACATGGTATGTATTTTTCCATTTTATAGTTTTAAACTACTTGTGTTTTTTTAATGTCTTGGTCTTGACATATTTAACTTGATCATTATCCAGTCTGACAGTCACCTACTTTTAAATATTCTGTGTATTTAAAAGAAATTATGAAGGACTATAAATGTAGCTTTAGTAGTAGAGCAAATACTTGGTATATGGGAGGCCCTTGGTTCTCTCCTCAGCACAACAACAAAAACAAAACAAAAGGAATAGAGAACAGTTTGCTAGTATACACACACTTATCCATACATATACATACATAAATAGATATATACCCAAACCTCATTTGGTTCTGTTGACTCTTAACAATGGTGAATATTTTCATTTTGTGTTTCGTTATTTGATACTTTTATGACAACTATTGTATTTAAAGTATGAGTGTTGATCTTGGTAAATAATATTTACATGTAAAAATGCCTTTTCTTTTACAAAGGTGTTGAGGGTGTTGTGCTGACTCAGTGTGTAAGTGAGAAGGTTTTGGGCAATCTTGTAGTAACAGAACAGAAATGTAGTTTACTATTGGGTATTTCTAAAACTTCATATTATTTCTTTTATAGGGTTATTTTCTTTGCTCTTTGAATATACAAAATGTACATATATTATCATTAACAACAAACAGCTCATTAAAAATTAGAAAATTAGAAAAGTTTTAAACAAATCCAGCTGAAAAAAATTACAAGGAACAGCAGTAATTACTCATTAGAATAGTTCTGCATCAGCAAATGAGACTGTTCTCTTTCAGCATGTGAACAAAATTAATAGAGCAGCATTTTAATATGCTCTCCCCCCCATTTTTCCATTCAAGTATCAGCATGTGTTGTTTAGATTTACCTATTCCATAGGAAAAAATTAATGTTAAATATTTTATAATAGTTACAATCATTTATTGCATTTTTTGAAATAATTATTAAAACTTGGTGGTTCCTATTAATAGCTTATGAGGAATAGTCATATTCAGATGTATTTAGAAATTACATTTTGAAAATATATTTGAGTATAAATTGTTTTCCTGGTTATTTATAAATCTTAGTATCTGTGAAAAATACTATTTATACAGATTCTCATTTGAATTTTAATATATTGAGTCAATCAGAAATGACTTATTTACACCACATGTAATTGTCTTATATTTCTTTGTGTGTGAGTTATGTTGGTAATGCAGCAATCATTTTAAGTGATAGATTACATAAATCCATTTTATGTTTAATTCCATGACTCTGAAACATCAGTGGAAAAGCACTTTTAGTAAATGGCTAACAGTTTATTGATATTATCCATTCTTAATGTTGATTTATCTGATTTAAAATGAATGAAAAAATGAAACTTTATTAAGAGAAAACATTTTTTGAGGTGGTAGTTTTCCTTCAGGTTTTTTTTGTGGTAATCTCTATCTTATAAAAGATTTCATCATTTTTATTTTTAGATTTTAGAGGTAGATATTGCTAGGAAATATTTATAGGAAATGTAACTTATGATTCAATTCGTAGAATTTCACCTTCACCTTTTTTTCCCCCCCTAATTTTAGGATCCTCGTCGTAGTCTTGCAGGAGAAAATCGCTGCCTTTGATAGCTGTACTTTCACAAAAAAATTTTTTGTCACAAGTATGTACCAAATCATTTTATTTCCTGTCATATGCATTTGAGTTTATACTGCTTACTTGATACAGTCAGCAAACTAAATGTAATCGTATTATCATTATTTCATCTGTTTTTACTTATGATCTTCTGTGATTTTGTGGATATCTTTATTCAGTAGAATAATTGTATGGTATGTAAGTTCACTTTGGAAACATGGGTTCATCATATTTGTTCTTCATTGTCTTAGTTTCCCCTTAAATACTTTCCTTGAAAAGTTATGATTAATTTCATATAGCTGTTCATTTTTTGAGGTATTTGAGTGTTTTAGCCTTTCTTTCTCCCCATCTTTGCTCCATCCTCATCACCTCTAGAGCTGTCTAAAAGTTCAGAAGTAAGCATAGAATTTAGTTCACCACAGTGTGCTCAAACACAAAATTAATATATTTTGTATCATATGAAATTTTATAATGCGAGGGAAGGGGTGTTGGCAGGGAGGAAGGGGAAAGGAGAGTGAGAGAGAAATTAATTTTAAGAAATTGGCTTGGGGCTGGAGTTGTGGCTTAGCAGTAGAGCGCTCGCCTCACACATGTGAGGCCCTAGGTTCGATCCTCAGCACCACATAAAAATAAATAAATAAAATAAAGGTATTGTGTCCAACTACAACTAAAAAATACATATTTTTTTAAAAAAAGAAATTGGCTCATGGAACTGTAGGGGCTGGCGAGTTGAGTTTTGCAGGACTGGCTGTTCAGCTAAAAAATCCAGCAGGATCCAATGTTGTAGTCTTGAATCCTGAGGCAGTCTGGGGACAGAATTTTTCATCTTCATTATGGATATTTATTGAATACTCTATATCAAACTCCTAGTAGTAGATATTATCCTTGCCTTTAAAAGCATTTTCTTTGATGCAGTTACCACATTATGTATCATATATAACTGCATACATCATATACTGCATGATATCCTGTATAAACAGTAATTCATTATAATATCTTGTTTAACATTTTGTTGACCATGAATAGGATAACCTCAGGCTTGTAATCTTTTTCTCAGACATATATAGCTATTACACATTAATTTATTACATCTTATTTATTATAATTAGAATAATTAGGGAAATAAAACCACATCAGTTTTATACATTTCTTTCCTCATTAGGTGGGATAGAGATGAGTGAATCAGAATAGAGGAGAAGTATTTCAGCCACATTCAGCTGTGAAGTTTTCCTGAGTATTTGTCTTTCCATTTTATCTGTAGTTTTTTGCTGTTCATTGTTAATCAGAGATATGGACATCAAGGCTTCTAATGTTAGCTCTGTTGTGATTCCATTTTAACCTTCTAAGTTCCATTTTTAATTTTATAACCTGTATCTTATACTTGTAGCCGTATTTCAGGAGCACTGAGCTATCTTTTGTTCTTTTATTATTTTTGGTTTATTAACAAATAAAAATATCTTGAGCCCTCAAGTGAGTGTTAAATTGGGGGAAGAAATCCAAAATCATTTATTTGTTAAGGTAGTTTCAATTACAAAATATATTTGGAAGTTTAATCCCTATTTAAGTGTTAGATTCTACTATACTGTGTATGTTGAACTATTACATTTGTCAATAGCTGTCAGCTTCTTTGTAATAAATGTCAGAATATAAATGAGTTTTAATAGTGACTAATGAGAGGTTAAGAAAGTTAATGGTGGAGATATTTTATTTTTTTGAGGGTATGTATTTTTTAAAGCATATTTATATTATAGTTTTAAGTGAACAAGTAAATATATATATTTTCAGTAATTCATTTAATGTCCTATTTAGAAATTTAGAAGAAAAAACCTTCATTATAAAAGAATAATTTAAAATAACTAGATTTATTTATTAGCAGTATAGTTATATTTATTTTTTTATTATTGCATTACAATTATACATGGTAGTGGGATTCTTTGTTACATATTAGTACATATACACAGAAGAATAATGTAATTTGGTTAGTTTTGTCTCCTAGTACTTATCCCCACAACCTTGTTCCCTCTTCTACTCTGTTCGTCTCATGAGATGCACCCCCAACCTATTTTATTTTTCCTCTCTAGCTTCTACATATGAAAGAATATAGCTCTTGACTTTCTGAGTATGTCTTATTTTGCTTAATATAATGTCCCAAATTCCATCCAGCAAATGGCATAATTTCATTATTTTTTATTGATATTAAAACTCCATTGTGTATATATGCTATATTGTAATTAGGTTGGAAGGACACAAAGGTCTATAATAATTCTAATACTTTAAAATGGAAATATAACTTTCATAATACTGTTTTATTGACAAATCTTGACAATATTACATAATGATAGAATTTTAAAAACTTTGATCAAATAATATTTTGGATGAAATGATGTATATGTAGCTGATAATCTATCTACACATTGTCCTCTACATGAGTGAAATTTGTTTCTACCAATATTAGGGTTTGTTAGCACTTTTTCTTTCTTTCTTTTTTTTTTAAAGGAAGGAATTTTTTAAAAATACCTTTATTCTATTTATTCATTTGTATGTGGTGCTGAGGATTGAACCCAGGGCCTCACATGTGCTAGGCAAGTGCTCTTATCACTGAGCTATTGCCCCAGGCCCAGCACTTTTTCTTAATGCCTTTTTTGCTTTCTCTTTTTCTCAGTGTTTTTTTTTGAGACATCTTTGTGATGTATTCCTAAATGCTTCAACTTGCATTGCTGGAACCCAATAAATAGTTGAAGGAAATATTGCTAAATTATTAGTCTCTATCTTATTTTGTGAATTGTTCATCACTGGAAGGAAGAGATATGGAAGCATCAACAGTATTACTGGTTGTACAGTCAAGTACTTTATTAGAGGCACACAGTTTCTAAAGAGATCCTAGTTGATGGCTTGTGGTCCCTAGTAATGAATTTTCAGTTATTTTTGATCCATGAGTATTCTCACTTATTCTCTCAGAGTACTATTTGAATTTTGGCTCTTGTTGACACCTTAATGTCAATATTTAGTGTGGATTGCATAAAATCTAAACTGTTGCTTAATAGTATGCTATAATAATACCTTACTAAGGAAAAAAGAGTTCAAAAAGCAACAACAACTGAAGTTGGTGATTTCTCTACTTATACTCTAAATAGTATTTATTATAGAATTTCACTTTAGTCTTCTCAAATCTCACTTTTGCAAATACTCTTACAAATAATAATGATATATCTTATTTCACACTTCCATTAGGATGTGTGGTTATTCTTAGTCCTAAGAATCAAATTTATGCATGTGATTTTAGGTTGGTAAAATTGAGGATATTCAGCAAATATTTGAATGGAGATTTAGTTGATTTTCTTTGTATTACAGCTTTGTGTAAAATGATTTTTGGTCAATGTTAGAACCAAATTCTATATGATCAGAATTTTAAAATCAAGAAATAGAGGGTGCCACTTTGTAACTTGAAAGAAGCATATATTTTTTCTCCAATTCCTGCATCAGAACCCTCCCCTCCCATCTCTTTACCCAGACTGAAACTCGATACAGGTTACATACATTTCGTGTATTTGGATTTATGTTATCCCATGAGTATAAACTAGTTTTGCTAGGTACTGGAGACAGGGGAGCTGGTGTTATGGCACAGTGAGATAGTTTTTGTGATAGCTCATCTGCCATTTCTCCATGGATTAGTACCCTGTTTTTAAAGAGGCAAGAGTACACCCCATGTAGAAAGACAAGATCTCCATTTAATGAGGATGTTATTTTGATCATGCAAGCATTTCAGACTGCTAAAATAGTCTGAATATCTCTTGTACAATACATTCTCAGTTGACTATCTTAGTTATGTAAGAATACAATGAAGGTACTGTAATGAAGTACTGATAGGATGTGTCCATCAGAGCAAGCATCATGGGAATTTGTGCCAAAGTTGGATGGAACAGGTAAAGAGAGCCAATGGGGAACTGTTGAGAAGGTATCCAATGTGATGAGAAAGGTGACACTCTTGTATTTGTATGCACAGAAAGTTGGCCTTGAGCAGCTGTCTGATGTGGAAATCTGAAACCCTGGTATGATTAGGAAAACAAAAGACAAAGATTGATAGATGTCATTAGTAGTCATTTGAAGTGTACTAAAAAAATCTCCAGGGAGATTAGAATGTCCAGTAATGCCAGTCCTCATGATACACACCTGTAATCTCCACAATTCAGAAGGCTGAAGCAGGTGGATCATAAGTTTGAGTCCAGCCTCAGAAATTTGGTGAGACACTGATTTAAAATAAAAAATAAAAGAACTAGGTATGTAACTAAGTGATAGAGAACCCCTGGGTACAGTCTCCATTACCGCCCCCCAAAAACCACACACACAAAAAGATAAAGAAAAATGAAAATTTAAACAGATCAATTTCAAGTAATGAAAAAGCCATCAAAAACCTACCAACAAAGAAAAGTCCACAACCAGACTGGCTTCTCAACCGAGTTCTACCAGACCTTTAAAGAAAAACTAATATCAATCCTCCTCAAATTATTCCATGAAATAGAAGAGGAAGGAACTCTTCCAAACTCATTCTGTGAAGCTAGTATCATCCTGATACCAAAACCAGTGAGACACATCACGGAAAGAAAATTTCAGACCAATATCCTTGATAAACATAGATGCAGAAATTCTTATTTAAAATTTTTTTTTAGTTGTAGATAAACACAATATCTTTATTTATTTATCTTTATGTGGTGCTGAGGATTGAACCCAGTGCCCCACACATGCAAGGCAGGTGCTCTACCACTGAGCTACACCCCATCCCAGATGCAGAAATTCTTAATAAAATACGGCACATCACATACAAAAACACAGTAAAAAGATAGTGCACCATGATCAAGTGGGTTCACCACAGGGATGCATGTTTAACATACAGTAATCAATAAATGTAATTCATCACAAAATATACTTAAAAGAATCACATGATTATCTCAATGCAGAAAAAGCATTTGACAAAATATAGCATACATTCATATTTAAAACACTAGAAAAAATAGGGATAGAAGAAATATA